AGGTGAGAATGCATTGCTTTAGGAAAGTATCTCCCAGTAGATCTGAAACTATTTGCTGCATGTAGTTTTCTCCATATGGCCAGACTGAGTCTGTGGAGCAGAAGCATTAGTCATTGGAAAGCAGTTCAGAATGTCAAGTATTTTCTAGATTCACTGATTTTAAGCATCTGCAGTGCCATTAGCAATTACTGGGAGCATTTCAGGGTATGGTAGGAACCAGAAGGATTTTAAGTGACAATACTAGGCCCTGTTCAGAGCTTCTCTGTCCCCTGAATAACTGGATGATAGGCAACAAAGACAGGAAGAATGAGACAGAAATATTTCTCCACCTCCAAAATTAGAGGCCTACTAAATCAGGGCTCCAGAGACAAACAGAAAGCGATGCAAACAACAGGCAAAACTCTCCAAGATCAGTAAAGCTGTGTGGGATGAAAATCCCCAGAGGCCTCCAGCAATAGTCTATCACCAGAATCAGTAAAGAAAGAGCTCCCACTGAGGAGATATTGGACAATCATCACAGTTTCACCACTACCCAGTGGTGAAAATCTTCCAAAATGTGGTGTTCCCAAGGAAATCCCACAGGCCAGACAGGCTGATTGTGTAATATCATAGGGAATGCACATTCCAGTTTGGGATTCACTTAGTCTAACAGCAGTGGAGGGTGTAGACATCCCAGCACATACCTTGAACAAGAGCTGTGCTCTCCCAGGACCCCTGGGCACTGCTGGCTGTGTCACCTCAGGACTCTTTACTAACTCAACCTGCATACAAACCCTAACCTTTTAAAATGATCTTTTCACTGCTCTTGACTGTCTCTGACTCTGTTTTTCCTACAGCTTTCCACAAATTTTAGGGAGGTTTTCTTTTTGAGCATGACCCAAATGCTTTTAACATTCCTGAAGCATTTTCCCACCTGGTTACTGCTTTATCCCTCCTGCAGGACACCCTTAGAAGACTCTGGTGGCTAACACCCACACTGGATAAGTTTAGCATTTCATATGGAGCAAGTGGCTTCTCTCCATCATTGTTTTCTTTTCCAACACATTTTCAGAGAGACCTTTACTGCAAAGTTACAAGCAAATTACCTTTAGGAGCATAAAGAAAAAAAACCCCACCTGTCAGTGTATTTCATTGAATGATGCAACTGAATAGTGTACAAAACCTCCAGGTTTCAAATAGAGGTTCCTATGTAAATAGAGATAAAGGAGACAAAGAGATTGAAAAGCCACTTCTTTTTCTTCTGTTTCAACTCTTCCTGTTTTCTCAAGGTTGTTACTGTGACACCAATGTAAAAAAAAAAAAGGCAAACCCCACTTCCTACTTCTAATCTGTTTCAAGTCTTTGTCCCTGTTTCTCTCTGCTTACACCATGTATTGCCAGAAATGAGACTATTTTGCTGAAATTCCTGGCTCAGTCCAAGGTATGTGAGCTAAAATTATTTATCTATAAAGAGGATTCTACTTCTCTGTGCTCTCTGCTGTTACATTTAAGGGAGAGATCACCAAAAGCTTTTTAAAAGGAAAAGACTTTGAGTGTAATTGAGTATATTGCTTATGTTCAGAATGCTGAAAATCTTCATCTGTGGGGTTACAAACAAATCTGCCATGTCTCCAGGTTATACCTGTAGAGCAGGGCAGGAGATTGAGCAATTGAGCACTTAGAGTCTGTGATGCTCTTCTCAGTGGTGTGTCAAAAAAATGATATGTCAGTGCAGGAAATAAGTGGTTACATGTTTATTTCTTGATTTTATGAATACTGATGGGCACTTGACAGAACATTAACATCTGCCATGCACAAGACAAAAATCTTTTGGTTTTGTAGTGCAAGATTATTATAATGATGCTGACAAAATTAAACGAGTTTTGTAAGATGTATTTGGAATTCAGCAAAAGTTCTATTAAAAAAGAAACATATTAAATGTAAAATGAGGGTTTTTTTCCACCATCCCTTATAAACGTCCTTTATACTAATGAAGTGAATGAGACAGTTTCTGCTAGGATGATTTGTTGTCTGAAACTGCTCTAATTTGTGACTTTTCAGTGTTCCACAGACCTATCTGTGGTGTGTACCTGAAGGAAGAATTCAAACTAGGAACAAAAAACCTGTATTTAGATGGGATCTTAGTGACCAGTTGAAGAAACCAATTTAGAAAGTTTTGGAATGGCCAAATCCTGCTTTTAGTTTTGTTTATAGGAAATATTTCCTTATCTATTTAGGATCAAGTTGTTATACTGCAGTTCAATGCCAGGAGTTACAAACTGAGCTGAGAACATCAGGTAGATGCTCAGTAACAGGGCCCAGGGGATAATCCACAAAGGAAGTTTTTCTCCTTTAGGCAAGGACTACCCAGAATCAGCCTTGGGGCAGAATTGGTTTGAGATGAGCTATTTTTGTCAATGTCCAAAGAAATACAGTAGCTTCTTTTTTTGTATATAAACAACAGATGTGAAAAGTCTGATTATATTTACCCCAGTAGAATACAAGTTTCACTTAGGAAGAAAGTATGTTTGTTTGCAAAGTACCAGAGCTGGTAGAAATGTGTTTTTGTATTCTTAGAATCAAAGAATCAACCAGGTTGGAAGAGACCTCCAAGATCATCGAGTCCAACCCTCCCATGGTTACTTGACCATGGCACTAAGTGCCACAATGACATTGTGCATCCCCATTAGTTTAGCATTAGTGAAAACTTTCCTTTCCACTCAGGTCTTTTCTTTGTGGAGCCTTACAGAGCACTGAAATGATTCCCAGAATTACAGGCTGGTTTAGACCCCAGAAATTTAACAGCACAAGTTGAACACCACAGAGTCTGTGGTACTTTGGAACCACAGGATTCATAGGACCAACATCTGCCTGTGGTGAGTCCTGCTGACTCTTGGGCTGGCCTGGCTGGGCCCAGCAGCTCTGCATGCCCATGGGGACACCCAGAGAGAAATGCTTTGTGACACTGGACCAGGCTGATGGGGGAAACATGAAACATGTGGAAATGTATTTCCACACTTCTCTCTGGGGGAAGGAGGGGAGGATAACACTGTGACTTGTTCTGGCTAATGTGGCCTTGTTAGATGTTCTAGCTACACACTATTTAGGCTAAACTGTTCTTCTTTGAGTCTTGTCCCTGCAGCATATTTTTTTCCCTTAACTATTTTTTATTTTATTTTCATATCCTTGGACAAACTATTTCATGCTTAGTTTATGAGTATCATTGGCTCAGCTCTTATCACTTGCTGCTGTTTTCATTGCATGCTGTGTTAAGTGTAAAAGTGACTGTGTAACTTAAGAACCATCTTAAATGGACTTGAAATGTCAATAACATCACTTTGAAAATTTGAGAAATCCACTTTAATCCTGTAGTGTTAACCACACTGAGGAACATGGATAATAATTCCTTTAACAAGCCACAAACTTGTAACATTATTCCATCAATACTATCTGTATTTAAAAGCCACTTGAATGATAGTTCCCTGTAGAAATCTCTGAAGTGGACAAGAAACTGTTTGATAACTGAGCTTGAGTTATAGGATTCATGAGAAAGGAGAAACAGCAAAATCTAACATTTTGCTGTGCACAGATCAGTACATTTTACAGGTTATTTTCTGGGATGGAACCAGCACAAATTTCAAACAACACCTTAAGGTAATTCTTTTACTGTTTCCCAGTAATGATTACCTATTAAAATGATCCAAGGAAGTTACAGAAACACCACTACAGATTATGCAGTAAAGCAGCAAATTGCAGATTTCAAATTTAGCCACTGATTATGTTATTCTAAATGGGGTTTTTATGGCTATTTGCACAAGAACAGCCCATTATTCATGGCTGTGAGCTGTGAGTATAGCTGAGGAATGAAACAAACACCTGAATTTCACTTAGACTGTAATTACAAAGGGTTATGCTGATGCCCACAGCAGTTCTTCCAAAGATAATTTTCAACCTGTTTATTTTGATAGTTTTCTCTTTGTTTCTAAGAAATAAAAGAAGACAATACAATTTTTTGTTGAAATAAGTAGTCCAGACCAGCGCCAACCCTGCATGGATTTGGGGAGATTTCATAAGAACAGCTTCACTTTTTTCCAAAAACTGTATCTAGAAGATGTTTTCCTCTGGCACTGAAAGCATCTAAAATTAAGGGGTATACCCTAATATCCCCATTAATTAGACAAAATTAATTTGGGCTACACAATATCCAGCTTTAATTTATCCCACTATTTTCCTGTGATCTCATCTTTTCCACTTTGCACATATTTATGTCAGTCTCACTTGTAAAACAGGACATCAGTTTCAGGTTGTTCACCCATTGTCATTTTGCATCACTTGTTGCAAGGTGTTTGCCCTTAGCTCCCTTGGGTTGGGTAAACACAGCTAATACTCAGCCACTTTCAGTGTCCTGTGTCTGTTGCCCAAAGAAGCTGAGCACTGTTTATCCTCAGAGGTTTTCACAACCAGAGTGGGTAACACCTTGACAACCTCATCTGACCTCAGTGCTGACTCTGCTTTGAGCAGGTGTTTGAACTAACACCTCCTGAGGTCTCCTCTAACCTCAACTGTTCTGTCTTTCTCTATTAACAATTCTTCATTAAATTAAAACCCAGAAAGCAAATATTTAATGGGAATATTAGATTGGAATAGAAGATTAAAGTTGCATTATTTCTGGCGTGCTTAGAGCAATTCCATTTGCAAATCTTGAACCTCAGATTTATTTCTAATGCTTTGGGCACTGATTGCAGCTTGTAAGAGCAGTTGTATGTGCAGTGTTCAGTGTTCTTTACACCGTACTGAACTTTAAGTCCTAGATAAGAAATGAAAGATTAATCAACTGAATTGGAAAATGAACGAATTATTGTTTGTATAATGCCTGTATCTAAGATCTGTGACAGCCTTAATTGCTGAATTTCCCAATCCAGCAGTGGAAAGTGTCTATTTTATTTGCTGTCTGCGGATTCCTACATGTCTAGTTTTCCCTCCCTCGCAGATCCATGAGCACATGGCAGACAGCTGTTGGGATGGAGGCACAGAAGCAGTCTGGATTTACAGCTGCACCAGCAGATCAGCCTGTTCCAGCCTCTTCTCTCCAGCCCTCACAGGGTTCTCCAGATCCCAGCCAAGGCAGTGTGGTTCCTCCCCGGGAGCAGGCACTGTCCCAGCCTGTGTATCTCAAAGCCCTCACCATCCCTCTGTACCAGCCTGTCCAGGCAGGATGCTTTCAGCCACAGGGGCACTTAGTGACCAGCAGGAGCTGTGTACACCTCGACAGCACCAACATCCCTCTCATCCTGAGCCCACTCGTTCCTCCAGAAGGCACAGATCAGCCTCAGTCAGTTTTTCCCAAACAACTTGGGCAAAGTCTAACATTGAACATAGTCAGCACTTTACCAGTTTTATCATCACCGACTTCTTGTGTAAATGCATGTCTTGGAAGCCCAGGAAAATCAAAAAAAGCTGGGAAATACATCTGCAAACACTGTGGACGAGATTGTTTGAAGCCAAGTGTCCTTGAGAAGCACATTCGCTCTCACACAGGGGAGAGACCCTTTCCATGCACCACTTGTGGGATTGCATTCAAAACTCAGAGCAACCTGTATAAACACAGGAGGACTCAAACACATGTCAACAACACCAGGCTGCCCTCAGACTCTGACACCAGTGGTGCATCAGAGCAAAATGAGAGATCAACAGAGAGCACCACCTCACACCAAGGCAGCAAACTACTGAGGAGCACCAGTGAAGACAAGGGGATAGAGCTGAAACAACCGAGTTCAGAGACCAGTGCTGCCACAGACACCGAGAGACACCATGAGCTTTCACTCTCAGCAACAAGCACTTCATCAGCTGCTTCAGAAAATCAAGACACAACAAATCAGTCCTTCAGTTCAAAGGTTAATCAGGGGGTTCTTGAAAGAGAACCTCAAAGCTTATCATCTCCAGGAGCTTTGCCAAATGGTCCCTGTCAGAGGAAGAAGATGCAGGAGCAAAGAGCTCCAACTGCCAACAAGCACATCCAGTTGCAAAGGCAGCAAGCAACCTCTTCTGAGAAACAGTGGGATTACAAGCCATTGGACTGCAAGCTGAAGAAGTGTGAGAGCACTGACTCGGGGTACCTGTCCCGCTCTGACAGCACAGAGCAGCAGTTGGCATCGAGCAGCCCCTTGCACAGCCTCTCTGAGCACAGCACAGAGCTGGAAAATGAGGCTGCCTTCAGCAGCCCAAGGTGTGTCTCTGGAGGCACTGCAAAGCCAGAGGCAGCTGAGAAGGCTACAGCCTTGATGCTGGAGAAAAAGAGGCTGGAAGAACACATTTCCAAACTTATTTCTCACAACAAGAGCGTGGTGGATGATACCCAGTTAGACAACGTCAGGCCCCGAAAAACTGTCCTTTCTAAACAGGGAAGCATTGACCTGCCAATGCCTTATACATACAAAGACTCTTTCCATTTTGATATCAGGACTTGTGATGTAAATAGGAAAAAGAATCTTTCCCTTTGCTCAGCAAAATCTACCTTTGCACCCCTGGAGAAATGCAAGCCAATGTTTTTCCATTCAGTTCCCACCCAGTTCTCCACCACGATCGACACTGTGCCTGTTACACGGAGCAATTCCTTGCCCTTTATGGAGGGAGCAAGGATGGTGCATGACAAACCAGGTTGCTCTAAACCACTTTCTCTTACTAAGCAGTCTGTAAATACAGGCACTGCTGGTTTGCTGCCTAGCAACAATCTTGCTGCAAATTCAGTGAATTTTCCTAATAGCCATCACAGAGCTCTAGTCAGACAAACAGCAGTGGATGATTTGCCTCTAAGTAATGTGGTTGATCATCCTCCTCCACCAGAGGAGTTGCAAGGGAGTAAAAAGCTTGGGGCTGGAGAAATAATCCCTGCTAAAAATAAGAAACACAATCAAAGGAAGTTAAAGATGTTCTCTCAAGACAAATGGCAAATGTATGGAGATGAAACATTTAAGAAAATCTACCAAAAAATGAAAAGCAGTCAAAATGCCAAGAAAATGAAACAAAGGGGGAATAAGATTACAGATATTACAAGCTTCACTCCTGATTCAAAGGAGTCAGGCAGCAGCACTGAAATTACTGAGGAAAGAGATGGCAGGAGCTCTGCAAGTGACAGTCATCCCTCCCTTGTGACAGCAGCTTTAAACACTGGTAAATCAGGAACCTGTACTCATGGCAAGCATGTTCCACAGAATGTGTCCTCTGAGGAAACTGCAGACGGTGTGACCTGCCTAATGGAGACATCACAGTCCATAGACACCAGTGCACAGCCTGTAATGAGCAAAACTTCCCGAGACCTCAGTGGCAGTGACACAGACAAACACACAGCTGGCAGCAGCACATCGCTAGCTCCGAGCAGTTGTGAGCTCAGGCTTCAAAATCCTGAGTGTCAGCTGAGCAGTACCAGAAGGAATGATGATTGCTTGCCAGTACAGAGTAGCAACTGGGAGAAACCAAGCCCTGGGAAAGAATCCAGTAAATTGGAATTAGATTGTATAAGCACTTCACACCATTACAGAAACCATCAGAGGACTAAGGAGAGTGGCCAGCATGGTGTGACACCCCCATGGGTCCATTGCAACAGCAGAGAAAGCACAGGGAAATCCCAGAGTCTACCATCAGAAAGAAAAAAGCTGAAATTCGAAGCGGAGAAGATACAAAACCTGATTTCAATGCCCTGCCCGACTCCTGGTAGTGGAGCCAACACAGCAAGTGAAGCTGAGAGAGTTCATTGCTCTGGCACTCAGTGTCTTTCCACAGCTCCACTGAAATTCTGCAGGGAAGCAGAGGAGCAAAAATTGAGCACAGGAATTAATGAATCCACTGGAGGTCCTGAGAATGTGGATTATATGAAAACAATCAAACTCCCCACAAAACCTCTTCATTATAGTGACATTCACCTTCTTCCACACTCAGCAGGTGCCTCAAAACCTTCAGAGCCTGAATTAAGGGGAAGGGATTGCAACTCTCTTGCCTTGCAAAGTGCAACAGATAGAGATGACAAAACATGTTCTGAGAAAACAGGAGCAAATGTGCCACTTTTCAATGAAAATGCTGTGGATGTGTCTTCTGAAACTCATCATCTGCAATCTGGACATTTAACTCCTGTCCCACAACAAAATGCCTTTTCTCCAAAATATATTCTTAAATTGCCAAAGGGCAAGAGAGCCTCAAATTTGTCACTTTTGCTTAGATCTGAACAGGTCACACCTTGCACACCTGTGACAGACACCTTAACCAACCCTCCCTTCCCTTCCAGCACTGGATCACTCTGTTCTCATTCAAGTGATGTGGTTTGGTCCCCTTTAAAACTTGAAGTGAGACAAAAGGCTGGCAAAGGAGAACTTCGGTGGAATGTACACACAAACTGGAAAACTCCAGGATTTTGTTCAACACTCAAATCAGAAACAACAAATATCTTAACCACATCAGATAACACCTGTTATAACCAAAACTTCAGGCAGCAGGAGCCAGCAAGAGATGACTGGAAAAACAAACAGAACAAAAATAAACTGAATTATCAAAGGCAAACAGCAGAGAAGTGGATGAGCATAACTACTTGTTCGACACAGACTCCAAAGAAGAAAATATGCTTCACTTCTGTGTATACAAGTGGCTTTTTCATATCAGCTGACATCAAAGAAGAGAGAAAGGTTTTCCATCATCTTTGCTCAGGAGGTGACTCTTTGATAAGGACATCAGCTTCTAGCAAGGCTGCAGAGCCCACAGTCATGGGCTGGGACAGAGGGGGAAGTCCCTGCATCCCTAAGGATGTGTCACCAGCACTGCAGGATGTGCAGCACTCTCAGAGCTCCCCAGACAACCCCACTTATTTCTGCCGTTCTTTTGGCACTTTTTATTGCCACACTCTCACCACTCACTGTAAAGAATTCCCAGTGCTGTCCTGCAATAATCAGACCTGCTGCTCTGGCAGTTTAATGGTGTCAGGCATGAAGAGCACATTCCCTTCCCTCAGTGCTGAGCCACGACTGACCTGGTGCTGCTTAACCAGGAGCCTCCCCCTGCCCACGGAGCAGAAGGGCAGTGCAGACTCTGCCTACTCCTCCATGCACTCCTGTGACAAGGATCCCAGCACTCAGTGCACCCTGTCAAAATATGACATTTCTATTTTCAAGATGAAGAACATCAGCAAGACTGTGGCATATGGCTTAGCAAACACGAGTTTGAAAACACTGGTTTCATCCTTTTCTAAAGGACAACAGATACAGGAGGTAATATTAACAATCCTATTTGCTCTCTCTCCAGGGTGTTATTGGCTCACAGCCCACCCCCCCCTTATTAGAGAAATGAAATAATTGTCAGAACTATGTTTATGGACACTTACAGGCACTTGTTGATGCAGAATTTACAGTTTATGTTTTAAAAAAATAAGTCTCATGCTCATTTATTGCATGAAGAAGACATTTGTGTGAATATTGAAGTTTCTTTCACTT